CGTTGCTCCGCGTGGGGCTGCCATGTTGCTGCTGCTGCTTCAGCTGGAACGGAACCGTCGCCCTCATGGGCTGCAGGCGACTCCCGGCTCCCCCGACCGTGGCGACCGCACCGCCCCCGAGGGAGCTGGCCGGCGTGGGGGACCCATTGCGCCTCACCCGCTGGGACATGGTCCCCCCCCTCCCTGGTGACTGGGCGAGACGGGTTTTTTGTTGTTGTTGTATTGCAGGGGGAGGATTCTCGAGGCCGGAGTAAAGGCCCCCGCGACGGGGTGACGAAGCCGGAATCCGGGATACGGGGGGTGGGGAGTGGAGCCCGGGCCGCGGCCGGCAGCAACGAGGTGGTGCAGCCGCCGCCGTCGCCGCTCCTCCTCATCAACAATAGTGTCTCCTCCGCTGCCCCCGCCCCCCGCGGCCGCCCATTGGCGTAGCGTCAGCCGCGCTCGAGCCGCTCCACCGCGCCCATTGGCTGAGAGCGACTTGGGTCCCGGACCCTCGGGGCCTTAAAGAGCTTAGGTTTGCGCGCAGACCGTCTGCTCTTTAAAGAGAAAGAGACCCGCCCCCGGGGGGGAGGGGGAAGCGGACGAAGCGGGCTGTGTGTTTATGTAGCGGGCGTGTATTTGTGTGTGTGTGTGTGTGTGTGTGTACGTATACACGTGAGTGTAAGTGTGTGCACGCGCCGGGCCACGCATGTCTTTCCCTCTCCGCTGGGGGGAGCTATGGGGACTGAAACGTTGGGATGTTGCCACTGGGAATGTCCAGAAGCAGAGCGGTCCCCAGGGATAACGTGATGTCTTTCCTCCATTTCTTTACTATATTATTAATTGGCAAGGGCCTTGTATACACGTCGCTTTCTGACTTTTTTTCTTGATCTTTTTGTTCTGCCCTAATTCCATTAATGCATGGACAGGGAGATGAAATTTAATAACTCTTACTAACATTTACACGCACATTTCCGACTTTCGTCTTTTCTCTACAGTCATGTCTCAGAAAGATTAAAATTTCTGGGATTTTAGATAGTGTCTATGAAGTCCAGTTACCAAAAGCAATACCACCCTTCTGTATCTCAAGATCCCTGGTGAGACAGTGGTTAAAGTGCTCAGTAGTTAAAGGTGGCTGTTTGAACCCACCAGCTGCTCTGTAGGAGGAAGAAGAGACAGTGGGCTTTCATAAAGATTTACAGCCTCAGAAACCTTGGAAGCAGTACTACCCTGTATAGGATGGCTGTGTGTTCAGAATCAACTGGATGATGATGGGTTTGGGCTGGGGCATCTCAAGCAATCAAGAGCTTATTTTAATCAACTGCTTCACCTTGAAAAGATTCTTGCTCCCTTACAAGTTTGTAAAGTGCTGTAATTTACAAGCAAGGAGTCCTGGTATGGCACTATAGGATAAAGCACCAAACTGCAAGGTCTGTTTGAACCACAAGGTCAACGGTTCAAAGTCACCATCCACTCCTTAGAAACCCTATACAGGGTGGCTATGAGTCAGAACTGACTACAGCACTTAACAACTACATATTTTATAAAGGGCCTTATTTGATACTTGCAATCATTATTTGAGATAGAACTGGGCCAACCAATCACATTTTTGTCTCATGGAGGAAATAGGTCTTTGTGCCACAGGCAAGGACTCAGGAATGCAGGCAGTGACACAATTCTAAAATAACTTTAGGGGCATCTCATTAAGACCTGATGTGATAAGCACTAGACTGTAAGGTAGGTTTGAACCACAAGGCCGGCAGTTTAAATCCACCAGTCGTTCCTTGGAAACTACACTGGCTTGCTATGAGTCGGTAGTACCGACAGCTCTTAACAACATCAAGACAGAAAAAAAAAGGGCAGCAAAACTAAACCACCCACATAGCTTTCCAGTTCCACATTCTGTGCCCATGGCCTTTTTTCCTTTATTACTTTGTTAAATGTACATTCTAGATAACTTTACGTTATAAAAATGCAAGAGTAGAGGGCACACTATAATTCATCCTGGATCTGAAATCCTATTGGGTCCCTATATGGAAACCCTAGAGAGGAGTTCAGCTTCCTGATCCACTATGTACTCTGTGCCTCTCAGTAGGTCACTAGCCAACTTCCTTATCTATGAACTACAGTTAAACAATGCCATCTCCTTCACACAGTTGTTGTGATTATTAACCAAAGGTTCATTGCTAATGTGGCATGAAGAAGGTGTTTAACACTTCTAGAATCTTCACCTGATTCAGAGATCCATATCTCTTCTGACCACTCAATCACCCTTTGTCCTACTCTCTCCTCCCAGACCCAAAGCACCCAGCCAGAGAATCTGTCTTAAGTGACTGGTGCTCTGGATAAACCTGACCTAGCTACTTGTCCCCCACCCTGGACTGAAGATGAAAACAGCTTCTCATTAGACAAGAACACACAGGAAACTCCCAATAAGAATTATTCACAGAGCTAAGCCTAGTTTTAAAACAATGGATAATGTAGAAGATGTGCCTTTAAGTAAGGGTGTCACCAAAGCTGTATCTGACACTTTGTCCTGCTCACAGTAAGAGCTCAATACATAATTACTGAAAGAAGTTCAGCATGCTTTGTGTCCTAGCCACTCTGACCAGTTGCTTTTGATGTGACTGAATTAGTGACTTGGAAGCATTTAGCTTTTCTGAGCTAAAGAACTGATTTCAACAAGGAAGTTCATTCGATCAGAGAATTAAAAGGTCTTCGGGGAGAACAAAAAAGATGGTGAATTGGATGGAAGTACAGTAAGGAGCTCTGCCAGCAACAACACAGAATACCCGACCAAGCAGGCTCAGGGGATGGTCCCAGAACTCTGAACCACATATAAAGGAATATTTAGAAGG